GAGACACCAAAGACTTATCTTGCATCTTGTAAAAGGGGTAAAATAGCTGCCCTTTAAATAAATCAATGAGACTTCAAAGCTATATGACTAACTGCTAGATAAACAACACCTGTCAGTCATCTTGCCTAATCCTTTCCAAACTTCAAACAGCCATGTTTGTTCAGTATACAATGTAAGAAGATCATGTCACTGGCAGGCACATATATAAATAACTCATTACTCACGTTACATAAAAGAAAGAACACCTAACACAAATATTTATTTCCATTGCACATTTTTGGATTTCAATAATTTATTTGTTTTACCAATTGTCTTGGTAATCGGCTACTCTCTCTACCGTGCAGCTCTGCCGTGGGCCCTAGCATCTATGATGGAGCTCCATCCTGGGCCCCATTGCCTCTTTAATAGAGCTCTGTCCTGCATCTTAGCCACTTTAATAAAGCTCCACTCTGTGCTTTAGCCTCTTTGATGGAGCTCAGTGCTGGGGCACAGGCTCTATAAAGAAGCTCTGTTCTGGGCCCAAGCCACTACGAAGGGGTTCACTCCTGTGATCAATCCTTTTTCATGGAGCCCTATCCTGTGCCCTAGCCTATTTTATGGAGCTCTATATTGTGCCCTAGCCTCTCTGATCAAGCTCTGTCCTGTGCCCTAGCCTTTTTGATGGAGCGCTGCATCCGAAATCGCATACTACTTGCATTGCTACTACATTTGAATTTGAATAGGCTACATGCAGAGCAAGTGTTTGTCAGACATTAATAAAGTATCTGTGTTTAAATCTCTTAATTAAATGTATATATATATATATATATATATATATATATATATATATATATATATATATATATATATATGAGCTCTATTATAAGCTGCATCTGAAATCGCATACTTTCCTATACTATATAGTATGTGAAAATCAGTATGAGAGCCACATATATTATGCAGATGCGCTAATAAAATCATCCCAATCAATGTAAATCAAAAAGTTACTTGAGTCACATTGTGAAATTCATTTTGCAATTTATATAGCAGAGATACAAAAATCGCAGTGTCATTTTTTTCCCAATATAGTGCAGCCCTAAGTAGTATAAATGGAATTTGGAGAAACATTTTAAATATTTTAGAACAGTAAACAAGTCAGGCTAAATGGTTAAAACAAATACTTGACTTCTGCTGTCTTCATTAGTTTCAAAAACACTGATTTGTTTGCTATTTAAAACAGTTAATTTAATGTCAAGATCCACTTTTTGTCATTATCACTTGACCTACCTGCATCAGTTGCATCAATTCATTCCAATTCCAATTCTTAAATTCTCTCCTGTGGCCTCATGGGACAGTTTAGTACCCACTTCAAATGTTATGACTCGATTGAATGGGCGTTATCACTGGACATCAGATGATAGATATGGGTCAGCAGGGCTCAGTAGGCTCAGAAGGCTGTAATCATCCATCCACATGGTTAATCAGCTATACTAATAAAGACTCCAGATCCAGATCTGTTTTTACATTACTGTGATGATGACGATTGGGTTTAGGCTTGGGGTAGACGTTAATAAAATACAATTAATGAGAAATGTAATAAATAATATAAATAAGTCATCTTAACTTCCGGGCGTATGTGATCTATAGCTGATTAACCATGCGGATGGATGATAAGAGCCTTCTGAACCTACTAGTAGGCACAGACTACTGGCCCATATCTAGCGGATAACCACTAATAGCACCTATTTAATCGAGTGATAACAATAGAATCGGCTGAGAGTAGAGTCTATAGGATGCGTAATCCCAGAGGAAGTATTGGGTAATCCAAGTATTTCTCATCTACTGTTTTTTTACAGTATGAATTTAGACATACTACTTGGCTCTCATACTGATTTTCACATACTATATAGTATAGGAAAGTATGCGATTTCAGATGCAGCTTATAATAGAGCTCTGCCCTGGTTTCTAAGAAAGAACTCTGTCCTGGACGTAAGCATCAACGATCGAGCGCTAAAGAATTAAAAGTGGCACTTTACGACTCAAAGATTGACAACTCTTGGCCAAGCCATGTGAAAGTTTAATCTGACTGATGCATTGAGACTCAGCATTCATTCGTCCCTACAACTAAACTCTTTGGTTTTGTGCTGTCTTTTAGTAGGGACCAAACATGGAGCGCATCCTTTTATAATTTTAAAGGTGGCCACGCAGCTTTTGTATGCCTCATGCACATCACACTGACACTTTCCGCACAGACAGTTTACAAGCTACACCAGGATCATATTTACTACCAATCAGCAGGTTTCAAACAGTAAGTGAATTTCAAGCCCCCCGACCAGATGAGACAGCTCACAGACGCGCACACACTGCAGCGTATTGTTTAACGCTGAAACAGCGTGCTGCTGTCTGCTTGACTCAGTGGAGACGGGACAGACAGTGTCTATTGTTCTCGTACACATGACAAGGAAAGACTTTCCATGTTTCCGTTGTCATATGTTGGTGAAACATTCAGCTCGCATGTTGGCGTCACATGATTACTGCTCTCCTTCTGTCTGGAGAAAAACTGTATGTGTGTGTGCGCAAGTGTGTCATTACACAGATGGTTGTTGAGCTCAGGAACGCTAAAGCAGCCAACAGGGAGATTGGAGAGAGAGACAGAGAGAGCGAGAGCGAGAGAGAGAGAGTGTGTGTTTCGCATGGCTCCTTATTCGGAATAAGTCATGTGACCACCCAGTTGCCTTGGTAACTGCAGTTCTGAATTGCAGGTAGTATGTCTCATACTGTAGATGCTGTCCTCTAAAACCCCCTCCATCCATCTACATAGCTATCTGCGCTGGCGTCTGATTACCGATTAATGATCAGGTTTTAATGCATGATATGACAGAACCTTGACAGGCAGTGTCAGAGATGCGAGTTTAGCCAGCTGAGCTTTTATTAGCTCTCTGTGTCAGGACTGAAGCGCATGTACAAAAATAAACTCAGAGCAGAACATGCAAGGTATATTCATTAGATTCTGTTACTTCTGCTTTCTCTCTTTATGACAACACCTTGCGCAGAGACCTATTTGCAGATGGCTTTTTCAGTACCTATAAAAAGCTGGAATTATTATTTTTTTCCAGTATGTCGTTCTGATTATGCAAGACATGTTGCATTTGACATGCTACACTTGAATAATCCCAGAGGAAGATTTTATTGCTCACTGGTTGTTCTGATCTGTTCACGGTTCGTGAAGCAATCGAGTTACCGTTTTCTTTCATGTTTCTCCTAAAATGTCTGCAGAAATAAACTAGAAACATAGCTGTTGACAATATAAATGATGCAGTATAGCATTATAGAGCTTAGCATAGTGTAAAGCAGAATAAAGTAGCATATTAATGAGTTTCATAAAGAATATTACAATATCAAATGGTTTTCAAGCTGACAAGTGCTAGGCAAGAATATTAAGACCAGTTCACACTGCACCAACAAGCACAGACAATCATCAGTTTGCAGCAGATCACTTCTATGACAATCGAATACTCCATAAGCATGTTCAATTGATGAAAAAAAAAGATGCCAACAGACACCAACAGGAGTAACACTGATGAGACAAAACAAGAGAAAGTGTCTGTTGTTTTCTGTCAGTGTTGTTTATTTTCCTTCAGCCTTGTCCCATTATTTATCAGGGGTATCTAGCAGTTTTACACAGCTGATGCCCTTCCAGCTACAACCCAGTACGGCGAAACATCCATACACACTCATAAACTACAGCCAATTTAGTTTATTCAATTTACCTATAGCACATGTTTTTGGACTGTGGGGATAATATGACAGTATGAAACTTAGGGCTCTATTTTAAAGATCTAGGTGCAAAGTCTAAAGCCCATTGCGCAAAGGCATTAAGAGCATGTTCAAATCCATTTTTGCTATTTTAAAACAGAAAAATATGTTCTGTGCCCTGGTGCATGGTCTAACAGGGTTGTGCTTATTCTCTTAATGAGTTATGTGTGTGTTGAGCATAACGTGCATTAAGCCCAGAGTCTCATCTTCCATTCCCTTTAAGAGTCAGTTGATCTGCGCCATGGCACATTTGTTAATTACATGTTGAACTTTGTAAGTGGAAAAACTCAATGCGTCACTAGCGAGAAAACAGATAAACAGATCATCTGCAGCGTGAGGATAAAAAACAAGCCTCCTCCATTCGGCCTCTTTAATGTACCGTACTCTTTACTTTACTCCTTTTCTTTCGTGGATAAGGTGTGCACTCCACTGAAGACATCAATTAGCCTACATATTTAATGTAATTTGTTAAGCTCAAAGATTTGCTACAAAACTATTTCTAAATTCAGTTCTAATTTTCAGCAAACAAATAAATGACCAATAATAACGACGTGTGGTCAAAAAATTATTATACATGAGTTATATCCAAACACATGTCCTATTCTTATGCCCCTTATAATGACACATTTCCAAAACCCGACAGATAGACAAATCTTGTTTGTATTAAAACGAATATAAATATGCATATAATAGATCATACTATAACTAATATTAACATTTTACAAATGCAAATTGTCATAAATAAGCTAAAAAAGCACCCGAGGTAGAGAAGGCACAGAGGCAGCGGTTTTTATATGTATGTAGAAAATAATAACTTTAATCCTTTAATTATTTACATTTTTTAATTTTCATATGTAAAGATATTTGTGTATTGCTGTACATCCTGTGTGTATTAAGCAATGTGTAAGCGTTTGGACCTGCATAGGCGCATGATTAACGTGCTCTTCGCTGGACTTTTGACCTGCTTTCAGTTGGTCAATGACGTGGTTTATTTCAGTTGCTCAAAATAACAACGTACCAACAATGTCCATTGCTTGGGTCTTGTTTGGACCAGAACATTCATGCCACAAAATGTGAAAATTTGGGTCCGCTGGTCTACAAATAGCAACAAATTGCACCTTATTGCACCGGGTGTATGATAGGGCCCTTAGTGTATTCTGGTTATGCATGATTATTTCTGATTGTTCTGTTTTTCTCTTTTAAAGGTCAGGTAAAATGGGAGGGAAGCTGAGCAAAAAGAAGAAGGGATACAATGTGAACGACGAGAAGGCCAAAGAGAAGGACGCAAAGACAGAGGGAGCGTCGGCGGAGGAGAGCGAAGCTCCTAAAGAGAACAAGGAGGACGCTGCTGCTGCCACCGAGACCACCAATGACACGGCGGCAGCAGCTAAAGAAGCCACACCAACCGCTGACAGCAACTCCACCGCACCCAAGGAAGAGGAGAAAAGCGCCGCCCCTCCAAAAAAGGAGGAGCCTGCTGCAAATGCTAACGCTAATGCTCCTAAAGCATCTGATGCCAAGACCAGCGAGGCTGCCAAAGCAGAACCCGCCAAAAGTCCAGATGCTCCTCCTGTAAAAGCTGAAGAAAAGTCTGCCCCTTCCGCAGCTCCAGCCAATGAGAAAGAACCTGCGAAAGAGGCCGCTAAAGATCCCGCCCCTGCTGTAGCCGCAGCGTCGGAGAGCAAGCCTGACGCTGAGTCTAAAAAGACTGAGGCTCCGCCCACAAAGGAATCCGCCCCCGCGGAGCCAATCACCACGGAGACCAGCCCCGCCCCCAACAAGGAGCAAGCAGTCGCTGTGCAGGATTAACGGAAGGAACAGTGAACGACAAGATGAAAACGGAGATCAAATCTAAATAATAAAACTAGCCCGCCCATTTTAAATGATACCAGTAATTATAACATCAATAATGATAATAGTAACAATAACAGTAATGATTTTAACAGGCTGGACTTTGATCATTGTGTTGGTGATGGACATGATCATGGTGAACAAGACTGGCTGTTATGACCTTATTATCTTTAATATCCAATTGAACTTTGATACAAATCACCAGCCCCCAACTCTCCCTCCTTCTCTCTTCTTACCTTTCTTTCTACCTCCATTCGGTGAGGGGTGGAATAAAAACATTGAGTCTATTCATCACCACCCTCCATTCTCACTTCCCTTCATTTGAGTGTGATATGATGGGTGGGGTTAAAAAAAAGATATATATATATATATATATATAAGTGTGTGTGTGTGCGTGTGTGTGTGTGCGTGTGTGTGTATGTATGTATGTATGTGTGTGCGTGAGTAGTAGTAGTAGTTTAAGTCCAGCCTCCCGATGCATATTTCATATTTCCTGTTTGCTGCTTTAGTGATTGACATTGTGTCTGCTTATCCCCTGACTCTCCTGCTTTCTTTGTTTCTCTCTCTCTCTCTCTCTTTTTCTCACATATCAGTGGATACAAAATCAGTGTACTGCACAATGCATTAAAACACACATATACATACACACACACGCACATGGCAGTATTAGTGTTTTTTAAAGGGACAGTTCACCCTAAAACAGCAATTCGGTTATGACTTTCTAAAAAATCATGATGTTGGTTTTCCGCTAAATGCAAAAGGAGAAATTTAGCAGAAAGAGTTATGCACGAAAGTCTATGGACATCCAAATCATTCAAGCAAGATTTTCATGGCAAAAATTGGGATATAGTGCATGAGCCATATGGGCTACTTTATGGTGCTATTTAGTCTTTTTTGGATTCACTTTTACTAGAAAAGAGCAGCATGAACCTTCTCCAAAACCTTCCCTTTGTTTTAGATGGACGAAAATATTCCTAAGGGTTTGGAATGACTTGAGGAGAGTAAATGGTATCAGAACTGTTATTTTAATGGTGAGCTGTCACTTTAAACGGATGTTTGAAGGTTCGATAACGTGTGTACATGTATGGAGGGATCTGGTTATATGAAACGAGAGTATGTATGGAGTTATGCATGGTTTGAGTATGCATTTTCTGCATGTGTGTGTGTGTGTGTGTGTGTGTGAAAAGAGTTCTGGTCTTTCTGTAGTTTAAAAGCAGCATTTTGTCATGATGTCAGAGAGACAGAGAGAGAGAGAGAGAGAGACAGTCCAGACCTCCAAACTCAACAAACAGAACACACTTCACACACACACATACACACACACACACACCAGTCTCTCAATTTCCTGACAGAGCAGTGTGAACGTTGTGTGTGTGTTTCTGTATGTGTGAGGTTGTGTGTTTTGCATGTCAGTGGTTGGCCCTATCGTTGTGTATTTTTGGTTGCTGTGGAGATAATGTTGCTACAGGTGATATTTCATTTGAATTAACACACACTCTCTCTCTTTCTCTCTGTTTCTTTCTCTATCATTCCTTTTCTTTCTAAAATTCCCTGGTAAAATGAAAAAAAAAACAACAAAAACAAATGGAAGAACTGAGATATATGTACTTGTATACATGGAGCAACCTTAATAAAATGGAAGAAACAGATTGAAAATCAATTCACACGTCTTGATTTTTGTGTTTCTATGGATAAACTCACAGCTTCTTCCCAGCAAACACACATTTAAATCTATTTTTAATGGTCATGACTTCACCTCAAACAAATCAAAACGCATATCCTTGAAGAAAAAAAGCCTGGTCTAATTTTACCTGCAACAAATCCAAACTGTTATGTAAGCTGTCTTTACGCATGAAGAGATGCACTGAAGGCACATCTAAAAGTAAGGTATATAGTAAAAAAAATTTTTTAATGTGACATTAGTAGAACAAAAATGTAAAAACACAGGAATCACTATCATGGTAAGCACGCTTTATTTTCATGTACAGCAAAACTACTCTAAAACAAATATTGGTCTGTTTCCAAGGAGTGGTACGGTACGGTATGGTATGGTTCGGTACGTTTTTATGGCTGTTTCCACTGTCAAATAGTACCTACTGTAAAAGCGAACTGTACCCATTTTTGCAAAGGGTATCTAGAACGAAAAAAAAAGGGTACCAGAGGGTGGAGCTAGACGTGCAGCTGAATGCTTCTGGTTTACAAGATAAGTCGCATTTATTTAATTATTTTGTATAATTGGAGACATTACAGTAGGCTTTTTCACACTGTCATTGATCTGCAGTTATAATCAAATCATATTCATATGAGGTTAGTAATGAACATTTATACACCAGTATTTATCTGTATAAAGCATCTGTTTTGTAATTCTCGTATATCTTCTCATATGATATATGCTTTGACATTTCCTTGAGTAAAAATGACGTCGTCTGAAACTTGCTGTTGTACACCACGCTCACCAAAAGGGTACCCTTTTGGCAGTGGAAATGCAAGCTTGATAAAGGTGACCCGTACCGACCTATACCATGCCATCCTGTACCTCTCAGAGGAAACGGGCCATATGTTACACCCAAACGACCCTTTTGCAAGCTATTAGGAATGGCTGGATTAAACTAAATGACATAACTATACAAAATTTAACAAATGTATAATAATTATATTATTTAACAAACTATATATACTGCATTTCCCAATTTCTGTTTAACGGAAAGATAATTTTTTTTTCAACACATTTCAAAGCATAATAGTTTAAATAACTAATTTCTATTAACTGATTAGTTTTATCTTCTATCTCTATCTTTGCCATGATGGCAGTACATAAAATTACACTAGATATTGTTCTAGATACTAGTATTCAGCTTAAAGTGACATTTAAAGGCTTAACTAGGTTAATTAGGCAAGTTATGGTAATTAGGCAAATCATTTTATAACAGTGGATTTTTCTGTAGACAATCAAGAGGGCTAATAATATTAAGTAAAAGTATTTTTTTATTATTGATTAAAAGTAGTAAATTAATTAATACAAACAAAAAAAGATACCATAATGTGTATTATGATTGTGAAAACATCTGGGGCCTCATGTATCAACACTGCGTACGCACAAAAACTTTGCGTACGCCACGGTTTCACGCTCAGAATCACTCACGTTTGGATTTACTAACAATGAACTGAATGTGGGAATGTGCGCAGCTTCACGGCAGCTTTCTGGCAGGCGTACGCACATTTTTTGTGCGTGTCTGTTTTATTTCCATTGGCGATTCCTAGAGGCAGTTGTGTTAAATTCCTCTCTACAAAGTGTCTGAGCCTTGCAATGGCAGCTGTATGAGACGGGTTCAGCAGGTATATAAGGTTTCCATACCATACATTTGACCAGCTAAACATTAAAGCACAATTTGCAGCAGTCGCCTGTTTTCCCAATGTAATCTGAGCGATCTACCGCACACACATTGCTATAAAGACACTATCTGAAGATGAATTTGCATGCGTGAATCAGAAACATTTCCATTCAATAAATGTGCAAATAAAATATGATGCTTATTGATATGAACTTATTGATGATTCCTACTTGTCTTTCTCGTGATAAATAGTTGGCAAAATCTGATATGTAGCGGGGGAAAAAACAAGAAAGAGTTCATCAGACGCTGGATTCGAGCCGAGCTCATGCTCGAACGTATCAATTCATGATCACATGCGTCTTACAAGTAGCGCCACTGAGACTGTTAAGCAACCTGCAACATTTTACAGATATAAACCACACTATTTCTTTTTTTTAATGCACTCAGTGCGATGTTCAGACCCAACTGTGTTGACCGCATCAGCTAAACTCTCCCACTCTATTTTTTTCTTTTGTTGTTAATTCCGGAGAACAAACTTGCAAATAACACCGCTTTTCTCCGGTCTACCTCCGAAAGCAGCACCTCCAATTCACATTCTGTTCAAAGTTTCTCTTCTTGCTTGCTTTTGACATTGCTTTTTCGTTGGGGTTTTTCATTAGCATAGTCATTAGCATATTCATACGGGGAGGAGCCAGGGAGGGGTTTTGTGCTCGTGCATGTTGCGCTCAGTTTCACGTTCATTCAGATGTACAAAAGAATATGCGTGAGATTCGGCGTACGCAGTGTTTCATACATCTAAAAATTTTTTTGCGTACGCACATTTAAAGCTTTGTGCGTACGCAATGTTTTAGTAAGATTTCCACGCAAGTCTTCGTACATGAGGACCCTGGTAACTCAAATTCAAATAGAAACCAAATAGGAACCAAACAGAATGAATAAACAATATGGAAAGTATTAAGATTACTAAATTTGCACAATTTAGAAAACGTCACGTAAACTGGCTGTTTAAATTAATATAGATAGATACATTTATTTGGAATTCTGAAGTACCAAACAAAAATCTACTCAATCTAAGATTAGAGGTAGTGTATTTACAGCAAGAATAGCTGCATAAATAAAATCATGCATAAACACTGGCATTTTCTTCAGTATAACATTTTAAATGTAAAAGTTCAAATGAAATGATGGTGAAAATTAATCCTTTTCTTAATGAATTAGTTGTTTCATTCAAAAAAGATTGATTTATTTACAAATGAAGAAACATGTGATAATTTTTTTTAATGGCTAATACAAAATTCTGATTTATTATTGAATCAGTACCTGTGTTGCTCAGCCCTTCTGTGAATTTATTTTGAATCATTTTTGCTGGCAATTATTGCTATATGTTATACCATATATTTTTAAAAGTACTCAGAAAGATGAAGGTCAGAGCACTGCATGAGAAAACAGACCTGTGGCATTAGAACATGAGAACAGTGTTAACTACCTCATGATGCTTTTTCAGATTATACGTGTTTGCATAACTATAGCTTGTAGTGTACTGTTTTGTCCTATTTAATATATATATAAGTAAAACTAAATAAAGCATTTTTTTTTTTACAACAAAACTACATTACATTTGAAGAAACAACTTGCATTACATTTCAACAAAATCAGTTAATTTCTTTTGTGATCTAAAATACTTATCAACCTATTTGATTCGCACCAATCTAATTTGATGAAATCCTAACTGTTTATATTTATAAGGACCTACAGTAAGACATACTTATTTTTTTACTTTTATTTTGTTCATACTTATTTTTGCTTACAATCAAAGCATGTTGTGATTTACATCATAGCTGATGGGTTAGGTGCATGATTTAAAATGCTTAAGCAAAGCCTTTTTTTTTAGAGCCAGTGTTGATGAAATTGTTCTCTAGCACAAATGCACTCTATAAGTGTATACCAGATTTTTAAAGTTTCAATAATGGTTCAGCAACAGTTCAACCAAAAATAGAAATCTATTCACCATTTACACAACCTAAAGTGATTGTACACATTCGCAAGTTTCTTTTTATATTATGACGAATGTTGGAAAGTGTTAGCCATTGACTTACATAGTATTTGTTTCATAATCTGGAGATTGATGGTTGACAGTTTTTTCAAAACATCTTGTTGTGTTGTAATCAAAGAAAGGAACTCAAACTATGAGTTTCACAAATGTAGGGCGAGTAAATGACACAATTTTGATTTTTGGGTGAACTAGCCCTTTAATATATGACCACATTTTTGAGGTCAGTGTAATTTCAATAATAATCCACAATTTTAATTCATGCAATCATTTTCCTTC